ATGGGAACTGGATGGGAACTGGGAGGTGACCATGAGGGGAAGGGAATCCTGCAACCCGTGTGGGTAAAGTAAGAATAAAGAGTAAATGGCAGCGCTGGGGTGTTGGGGTCGCTGTGGGAATGGCACCGTGCACAAACACAGCTGAGGTGCCATTCAGAACAGCACACATCTCTGACAGCATCCCAAACCACCATGCCGTGCACAAAAACCCATCTGGAAGGGGAATCTGTGATGGCATCGTTCACCCGAGCGTCACCCAGAGTTGCATCACGCACAGATCCCAGCCGGGCAGCACTTTGCATCTTTTTTCCACATCGTACGAGGACACCGCCTCCGAGCTTTTGGCTTTAAAGCAGTGCTTTGGGGAGCACAAAGCGATGCCTCCAGACTGCGAGGGATGCTGAGACCCCTCCTGCTCACCCCATCTCCCCTCCCCAAACTGCGTGGGTGCGGGTGCTGCTGTGGCAGAAGCGATGCTCGGGGCACGGGGAGCAGCAGGGAACAAGATTTTGTCCCTGGAGCTGCAGCAGTGCTGACACCACCCAATTTTCCTGATTCCTCCCGGCACCACACCACCACGCAAACAAAACGCCCGGCCCATCACCAACAGAACCAGTTTGCTGCTGGAAGTGTGAATAGAAGATCGGGTGTCACCTCGCCCTGGGTGCTGGGGAGGTGGAAAGGGGGGGGGGGGGGGGGGAAAATGTGCCCAAACTGGATCTGCACAGTAGTATCGCCTTACAGGGGAGGGGAAAAAAGAAAAAAAAATAAATCAAGCACGGAGAGAAAAACCACCTGACAATGTAAGAAAGAGCTGAGGATGAGGGAACATGGGGATGCATGGCACGTGTTAGCAACCAGAGCACCCCTGAGCACTGCCTGTCCCTGGGGGCTGCTGCAGGACCCCACTGCTGCACCCACCCCATCCCTGAGCACTGCTTTTCTGCACTGAGAACTAAAGCTGTGAGCTGGAGGCGTGCAGCACACGCTGTCCCCTCCTTGGTCCCCAGTGCCACCGCAGCCCTGAGCTCACAGCACTTCCCAGAGCCTCGGGTACAACTGGGAGGTGAAGAAAAAGGAGGTGATGGGTTCCCCAGCTCCTGCTTCCCTGACAACGTCCATATATATCATCTGCATGTTAAAAGTTTGATTCTCTTTTCTTTGTTTTTTTTTTTTTTTTTTTTTCCTTCTTTTCTTTTTAGAGAATAAAATAGAAGCTATTTACAACGAAAACAATCAAACAACAACCTCTGAAAATCCCATATAGTAAGTGTAGTTCTCAAAATAGAGGAGGGGAGGGGGGGAAGAAAAAGGATCTAATGAATAAAATATCTCCCGATTTCCAACTTTTTTTTTTTTTTCCTGGGTTTTTTTGTTTTTTTGTTTTTTATCTTTTTCTTTCGTTTCGTTTTGTGTGGTTTTTTTTTTTGTTTTTTGTTTTTTTTCCATTAACGAGTGCCAGGAGGTTTCATTAAAGCTCGCGTTGGCAGGCGTCCGTACGTCTGTCTGGAGGTAACACGAGTTAAAAAATAATAATAATAATAATAAATGTACAGTGCAAAGTGTGATGTGTGTGAGGTAAACAGGTCGAGGAGGGAGGGGGGGGGTTGGGGAGACACTAGATAAGCCCTGAAGGAAAACCTCGAGGCTGAAAACCCCCCCCATTACCCCCCCACCCCCCCGGCACCACCCTGGCCCACCTGCAGCCCCCGGGCACCTCGGGGTGGTTTTGGCTGTGTGTATTGAGGGGGGGGGAAGGCGTTAAGGCGAAGCGTTGTTGGAGGTAGAGCTGGGGGGGGGCACAGGCACGGCGGGTGGAGCAGCGGGGGGGACGCTGCCCATGCTGCTCCCACTGCCCCCCGTCCCACCGCTGTTGGTGCCGTTGCCGCCGCGGCTGCCGTTGCCTTTGCTGTAGGAGGAGGAGGATGAGGAGGAGGAGGAAGAAGGGCCGGGCGTCTGGGCGAACAGCACACCTGGGGGAGGGGGGGAGAGCAGCGTTGGGAAGTGTTGGGGGGGCACCCGCTGTGCAGGTGAAAATGAAGGGTGATGCCAAAAGCTGGGACCGTGGTAAAAACACTGCGCCGCGCCCTACCTGTGTAGACGATGCCGTTGATCTCGACTGACATGCTGATGCTGTTGGTGCCGTTGTTGGCTGTGCTGCTGGAGGTGTCCTGGCGGTTCTCTGCTGGGGAAAACGGAGGTGATGGACCCTTTTCTGAGGTCCCCGTGCCCCGATCTCACCCTGAACCCCACGCACAGTGGCACCCACCTGGTGAGCGCGTGCCCTGGCTGTTGATGCGGATGCTCATGGGCAGCTGTGCTGTCATGGCCAGGAGGTTCTGCTGCAGGGCGCGCTGCATCAGTCGCTGCTGCTCGTCTGTCACCAGTGCCATCTTCTTCTCCGGGGGTTCCCCCGATTCCAGCTTCTCCCTCAGCTGCTCCAGTGCCACGGCCTGGGCTGCTGCTGCCACCTGCACGGCTGCAGCTTGAGCTGCCACCACCGGGTGTCCGGCCAGAGACACCGGCAGCCGGCTGGGCATGGAGATGGGGATGGGTGCGTCCTCCTCTGTGGGGCAGAGAGTGGGTCAGTTCCCCATTTACAGTGCCCCAGACCCCACCATCAGGAGCTGCTGCCCGGTGCTCTGCCCTATTGGAGTGGGGTAGGGTGATTGCAGCCCCAAACCAACACAGATAAGGGGTAAATGGACACAGAGCAGCCCTGCGGAGAGGACTTGGGGGTGTTGGTGGATGAAAAGCTGGACAGACAATTGTGCAGCTCAAAAAGCCTACAGCATCCAGCACCCAGCCCATGCAGGGGTCAGAGCTGGGTGACCATCACGGTCCCTTCCAACCCAATCCCTCTATGACTCAATGCAGTGGTCTCCAAAAGCATCAGGCCCCCAGGGGAACCCAACTTTGCTCAGGGAGGGGATGGAGCAGTGCCACCGGTGCCCTCAACCCGTAGCATCTGTTACCTTTCTTGATCTTCTGGACGGGAGCGATGGCACCGCCGTTGGTGGCCGAGGCCAACCCCAGGGCTGGCACTGGCAGCTTGGGTGAGGAGAGGAGCCCATGGGTGCCACCAGGTGAGTAGGTGAAGAGCGAGCTGCCAAATCCCTGCCGGCGTCCCTCCCTTCGGTTGCTGTCAATGGCCGCCTGCAGCTCGTTGGGGTTGCTCAGGCCCCGCTTCTCACATTCATAGGGGTACAGGTACTTCATGTACCTGTGGAAAGATGCAGTGAGGCACAGCACGGCCCCATCCCCACCTGCTGTCCCCAAATCCCCCCCCCCCCCCCCCGTGCCCCCCTGGTGCTCACTGGGTGCGGAGCGTGAAGGCCGCGCTGGTGATGGAGGTGGGCAGGTTGAGTCCCTTGGTGATCTCTCGCCACAGCTTCTTGTTGATGACCTCCACCAGGCCTCCTTTCTCTGTCACCAGCATGTAGAGCATGTACAGGTCCAGCACCTGCTTGGCCATGATGGGGATCCGGTTCACGGGGGTCCCTGGGGATGGCAGAGAGTGGGCAGGGGGTGTGCAGGTAGGCAGAGGCAAAGAGGGAATCCTGCTGCTGCCTCTCCCTTCCCCTACCACTCGACTTCCTTCTGCGAGCACCCCCACTTCATCTTGCTCAGCACCATGGAGGAAAAAGAAACTCAAAAGGGGCCGGCCGTGGTTTGAAGGCAGAGGCAGCTGCAGCCAGCAACAGCATTTATTTATAACAGCAGCCACGGGATGAGGGTCGTGCTGTGCCCAGGCTGCATGCAATTGGGGCCCCCCAGACCCAGCAAGAAGGAAACACAGCTGGAGCTGCAGGGAATCAACAGGAATCACCCAGACCAGGGCTGGAAGGAGCAGCTCATGGAGCAGCCTGTGGGGCAGAGCTGAACCTGGGGGTGCTGGAAGACCAATGCACACACACACACACACGTGCTTCCCCAAATGCCTCTTTAGCCAGAAGGCTGGATGCACTCACATTTCCATTGCTGGACCCCAGCTCCAGCAGTGCTGAGCAGCCCCAGCCTTGGCATGGTGACAAGGATGGGTCATGGCAGGGAAGGCAGCACTGTGGCTCCTTGGTTCTCCCCAGCCCGGTGCCGGGAGGTGGCAGCAGCTGACGTGGCCACACGTTGAGCTCTTTTCTCCATTCCACTGGCAGCACCACAGCCCTCCTGCCCCCTCCCCAGTTCACCCCCCAGCAGTGCACACAGCCCTGCAGCTGCCCCAATGGGTGCAGAGTGCTGTCTTGGGGCATGGTTGAGCTGCACCAATACAACCAGCACGGGCTGCGTGCCCACCTGCTGCCCTCCTACCACCCCAGGGCAGAGCTGTGTGTTGGACACCAAGCAGGAGGCAGCTTTATAGCAAGCCAAAAACTGCAGCAGGATGAAGCAGGAGTCACAGCTACACCCAGACCTCCCCTGCAGCACGGAGCTGTGCGTGTGTATGCTCATATATACACAGATATTTGACATTCTCCTTTCGAATACCACAGGTCAACATTTTCCAGACGCTGCCGGTGATGTTGGGTGCCCCGTCGGTCCTGAGAGCAGAGCTGGGCTTTGGATTGAGGCTGCTCTGGACTCACCATAACCTGGGGATGGGGCAGCACGGGGGGAGGCTGAGGGCAAAGCTACCCTGAAGGGGATGGACCCGATGAAATCAGCCCCGTGGGGCCAGCAGTGGGGCAGGAATCGCTGCGCTGAGCTCCCGACGCGGATTCCAGCAGAGCAGGTTTGACCCCGCTTTGCAACGAGGTTAAAAATTAACTACCAGTCTGGCCGGAGCATTAACCTTGGGTTACAATGACACGAGAGAAAATAAAACCCATGGACAGAGCGGGGGTGGAGGGTGGGCGGGGGGTGGGGGGGCTCACCTCGCTTTTGCATGAAGCTGAAGAGGTCGTCCAGAAA